AAAGAAAGATGAATCAAGTCGACAAATAAATATGCATTGTTTGCATAATGCCTACTGTAGATCCCATAATCCATTTTTCAATAACTTACTATCAAAGAATTGCAATAATAGGCATTTCATGATTTAAGAAAAATAAAATAAAAATACACCAGGCTTTCATGTTTAGTTCTTGCTGCGGCAGAGAAGGGAAAAGTAAAGTTATGTTTGAAGAGAGAATTTTCAGGTGTATTTATAGGAAGCAAGAAAAACCTAAATATGTTTTAATGGACTCCATTGTTCTGGCCCGTTAAAGGTCATGGGCCGACGTATCCTACTCTAATTTAATTTTAAAATTATAAAAAATATATTTTAAAAAAAGTGGACTGGCTAGTATGACTCGCAATTCATGTACGGGTCAATCGGTTGTTCAAATTCTGTATGAGCTAAAGCTTATATGGAGAGATCTCAGCAAAATCTATGTTTTTTATTTGTGTCGACAATTTTTTTTATTTTACTTGAAAAGTTACTCTTATAAAATTACTTGAATAATAAAAAAAACAAAATCAGATTTGCTAAATAATTATTTTTTGAAGTTACGTAAATATGAAATAACAATTTAATAAAAAGACTAGTATTTCATATTCAACATGGAATTTGGAAAAGTACAACTACTCCATTAAGCAGAAACAGAGCAGACTCAAGACTTAAATAGAAAAACAGAGCAACTTCAAATCTTCAACAGACATAATCCATTGTTTATTTGTTCATACATCATATACTACTACTTAATTGACAAATGTATTTTTAACCAGAGATTTCAATAGACTTGACATCAGGCTTCTTCACTTGTTCCTTTGGAACAGTAACAGTAAGCACTCCATTCTCCATAGAAGCCTTAACTTGATCCATCTTTGCATTCTCCGGAAGTCTAAATCTCCTCATGAATTTCCCGCTGCTTCGCTCCACGCGATGCCACTTATCATTCTTATCTTCTTTCTCCACGTTCCTCTCTCCGCTAATCTGAAGAACCCTATCTTCTACGATCTCCACTTTCACTTCCTCCTTCTTAAGCCCTGGAAGATCGGCCTTGAACACATGAGCTTCTGGAGTTTCCTTCCAATCAACTCGAGTGTTGGCAAATGCAGAGATCTCCCCTGAATTTGAACCTGGAAAGCCTAATTCCTTGAAGGAATCAAACATGTCCATTGAGAATGGATCAAACTTACTGCTGCTTCGTCGATCACCGAAAATTCTAGGAATTAGTGACATTTTCAATTAAGCTTTTAAACTGTTGTTCTCACAATCTTCTTCTTTGAATTACACTGATTCTAGGAGAAGGAGACGTTTGGTATTTATAAGGTCCCTCAGGAGTGTCAAGTACTTTCTCGATATTTCGTGTCTTTTTGGCTTCCGTAACTTTCTGGATATTTCTTAGCAAGGTATATATGAGATGTCGATAGGCTTCTGGAGAACTCTGTTGATCCAACGGTTTTACGCAACATTCTACAGTAATAGGCCTTTCATTTTCCCTTTATAATTTTATATTTATATATAATGAAACATAAATTTTATTAATTACTCCCTCCATTTTTATTTATATGTCATAATTTTAAATTTTATGTTCTTTAAAAAATTAGATTAAATAAATATTAGTATATTTTTATTTAGTATTCTCCTAAAGTCAAGTATTAATTATATATATATAAATAGAAAATAAAGTGACAATTAATATATATTATAATAATTATATCAAATTTGAGAATATAAGAACATTTAATAATTTAAAAAATATATTCTACCAGTCAATCTAACGCCTCATTTGTTTTCATACTTACAAAATATACTAACACCAAAAATTAAAACTATATCGGTCTACCTTAAATTTCATTTTACCATCATTGTGAATGTAACTACAATTTTTTAACATTATTAAATGTTATATCATCTACTAAGATACATATAATAAAATTAGAGGCGGAGATAGGTGGGGTTCATGAGTTCGGACGAACTCATAGCTTTTTCGTGGACCCTGTATTTGTACTAGAAAATTAAATAAATGTATATGTCTATTAACTTGTGAACTCCTGACAAAATTGATAGACAGTGCAATAGTTATAAGAAAAAGACCATGAAAATGTTTTTCACGTTAAAATTGTAGCTTTGAACCCCGCTTTCTCTTTTTAAAAGAATATTTAGAACCCTCAAACTTTTAATCTTGGCTACGCCTCTGAATTTATAAAATAACATACTTCTAATGTATTATTTTATTTAAATTGAATAAATGAACAAAAAAACAATCATTTTATAAGTAATACTATATCAAAATGCATTGATAATTCTATTGTCTAATTAGGGGTATACAAAATCAAACCGAAAATCGAATCAAACTGCAACTTGAGTTAAACCAAAAAAAAATCTGATTAATGGTTTGATTTGACTTGGTTTAGTATTGGAAAAAAAACTCAGACTACATTTGGGTTGGTTTGGTTTTAACTAAAATAATCAATCCTAGATCAAATCAATTCGGCATTATATATATATATATATATAATTTTTTAAATTATTTTATACATAAAAGTATTTACTTTGATGTAATTTTTATATATTACTTGTATATTTTCATAATTTTTATTTTTTAACATATTTTTTCAAGTTTTTTGAGACTTGAAAGTTTCAATGATCTAATAAAAGTGATATTAGTAACTTTTTTGATGCTGAGGGAAACCCGCAGTTGCTATCATTTGGGTGCACATAGGGTAAAACCTCCGCTCCTAAGCAATAACTTGCAAACCATATAGGAGAGGTAACCCGCACTAGGCAAGTCCGGTGCAATGAGATCGACCAAGAAGGCAAACCCCTTGCTTTCGTTGGCAAGAAGTTTCGAATTTGAGACCTCCAACATGGAAGTCCCAAGCCCAAACCACTGCGCCACCCTGAAGGGTTATTAGTAACACTAATTAAGCTCAATTCAAAATCAAATCAATACTAATGCTATCAAGATAATTAATTCAACACTAAAAATGACTTTAATGTTGAAGATTTGTTCTTTAGTTTTACATTGGTCTTGACATTTAAAATATATAGCCTAATTTTAAATTTTCTTTAATGTTTAATCACGTAATTAATATTTCTTAGATTTATTTTAGCATGGTTAAGTACTTTTTAAATTATGATCAATTTCATTATGACTTATCAATTTAATTTGCAATAGTTATTTTATATGATTTCATTATTATATTATTCTTTATCTCATATTTTAGTATCATCACTCATCTCATATTTTGTGTTATTTTCTTAAGAAACACTTTAGATGGTTATATTTTAATTGAACTAAAAAAATATTTGGAGCACAAGTTAATAATATGTTTGTATGAATACTTTATCAGAAAAATTTAAAACCCCCCAAAAAATCTGAGGTTTATTAGTTTGTATTGATTTAAAATTTTAAAAATTCGACACAAATAATTTGGTTTGGTATTTGAAAAATCCAAACCAACCCGAAAAAATCCGAGATTGAAAATCCCTTGTTTTATTAGTTTAGATTGGTTTATAAATTTAAAATTTTGACACAAAATTTGTTGTGATATTTAAAAAAACGGAAATAACCCGATCACGTACACCCCTAGGCTTAATGAAAAGGTCACTACTACTTATATATAAGTGTGGATAACCACACATGTGACTGTCAACATGCATGTATCGACTGTGTGGTTCCACACTTACATATATATTTGCCTACTTTTTTCTTTCGTTTTAATTTATTTGTCTTATTGTTAATTTTTTATATATATTTAAAAATTGCGTAACATGATAATTGACAACCTAAAATATTTGTCGATTACTTATAAAAAATCAATTGATTCATAAAACTAATCTATTTGTGTCACATAAAATGGGATAAAAGAAGTAACGTGTATTATTTAATTTAGAAACTACATAAAAAGTATTGTGCATCTCAATAATTAACAATATTTGATTGACTCTTAAATTTCTATATGTGCTACATATATTGGGACAAGGGAAGTAACACATATTATTTAAAAATTACATTAAAAAATTACAATAATTAACAACTTAAAATATTTAAAAATCATATTAAAATTTAATTGACTCTGTAAATTTTATCTGTATCACATGAAGTGAGACAAAAAAATAACAGATATTGAATCCGTACTAGTATGGGCATTGGTGTCTAGTCATAATTATAAAACGTAATTTATGTTTTTGGTTTGTATCCACAAAAAAAGACATTTACTAAAATATTTCTTTATAAAATTACTTAATCATATAATTTTATATTTCAATAATTTTTATGTGGACTCAAAAAAATTTCTTTCATATATTTCTTTTGGTATTTACTTTAGCCATTTTAATTTACGTTTGTTTATTTGGATTCAAAAGTTTCAAATAGATTTATTTTTTTAAAATTTATAATTTAAAATATTCAAGTTGATTTCAATTATATAAATTGTCATTTTCTAAGGACAGACATAAAGAAAAACTGTACATAAATAAATTAAATCAGAGGACGTAAAACTTGATTACTTAGCATAATATTGAATGTTTGTATTTGGAAAATGGAATTCGAATCGTTGTAGTTCTTTAATCCATTGAGTAAGCACTCATTTCATTCTTACTTGCTTTCATTATGAGAAAAAGAGCTTCCGATACGTCTATTTTACCGTTCGTTGGAAAATACATAGTAGATCGAATTTATGCCACATATTTACGTTAAGGTTATGTTATATTGATTGGTATTTACATTCATTCAAAGAAATGAATGATAAATGTTTATTATCAAAAAACAACATAGAGGAATTGGAACAGAATCAAAGGACTAATATTTCATATTCAACATGGAATTTCAAAGAAAGTACAATTACGCCATTAGGCTAGAAACAGAGCCGACTCAACACTTCAATAGAAAAACAGAGTAACTTCAAATCTTCAACAGACACAACGGAATCAGTTCTTTATTTGCCCATATATCATATACTACTACTTAATTCACAAATGGACTTTTAACCAGAGATCTCAATGGACTTGACATCAGGCTTCTTCACTTGTTCCTTTGGAACAGTAACAGTAAGCACTCCATTCTCCATCGAAGCCTTAACTTGATCCATCTTCGCATTCTCCGGAAGTCTAAATCTTCTCATGAATTTCCCACTGCTGCGTTCCACGCGATGCCACTTATCATTCTTATCTTCTTTCTCCACATTCCTCTCTCCGCTAATTTGAAGAACCCTATCTTCTTCGATCTCCACTTTCACTTCCTCCTTTTTAAGCCCTGGAAGATCGGCCTTGAACACATGAGCTTCTGGAGTTTCCTTCCAGTCGACTCGAGTGTTCGCAAATGCAGAGGTCTCTCCTGAATTGGAAACTGGGAAGCCTAGTTCCTTGAACGAATCGAACACGTCCATTGAGAATGGATCAAACATGCTGCTGCTTCTTCGATCGCCGAAGATTCTTGGGATCAGTGACATTTTCAGTGAGCTTTTGAAAAACTTGTGTTTTTGCTTGTTTTTTCAATTTTGATGGTTGATGGAAGAGAACCTGGTTAGTTATTTATAGCTTCTTACACGAGTGTCAAGTACTTTCTCGATATTTCGTTTTTCTATCCTTCCGAAACTTTCTGGATATTTCTCGATGTGCAGATTGCGCCTCGAGATGTTTCTGGAGAAATCTCGTCGGCCCGTTTCAAGAGTGAGCTATGTTACAGAGGATTTAGCGGCCCAATTCCATCCTGGTCTATTACAAGGACTTCACACTGGCCCAGTAATATAGTTAGAGGCCTCACCTCCAGAAATGTATTTTGCATTGTATAGCTATAACATTCAGATCATTCTTTAACAAATGACGTGACATCTTTTTTTTTTCTCTCCTTGAAGCTTCTTCACTCGAGTTTTAACAAAAAATACTCTCTATGTCCCAATTTATGTGTCACACTTCGTTTTTTGAGAGTCAAACAGTTTAAGTTTAATCGAGAATTTGCTAATGAAATTTTCAATTTTTTAAAAATGAAATTTATATATTTGTAAACTACATAAAAAGTACTATAAGTCTCAATAATTAATAATTCAAAAATATAAGAAAGAATTACGGTAAAAAATAGACTTGTTTGAATATCAAAATTCGAAATGTGTCACATAAATTGAAACAAAAGGAGGAGGAGTAAAGTAATTATGAACAACAGTTTCCAGATTATAAGTAAAAATGATATAAACGTACATATTGCATTTATTTTTTCGAAGTTACTAGCCAGGAAAGGAAAAAAAATAAAAATTACGGCACCATCACCTTACTTAACAAAGAGCAGAGCAGTTCTTTACGGACATACTAAAACACACATTATTATAAGTGTCACGCAAGTGCATATGTGTCTTTGCGATCAAAGTGACAAAAGAAACTTCACCAAAGCATCCAAGCACTTATAAGAAGTACCATTTTCAGCAACACTATTCTCTATTTCCAATTTAAAATCCATAGCTCTTTGCCTAATCTCCTCCCCTTCATCACTCACCATTAGTTTCCTCACAACTCTTTCAATTTCCCCTCTCTCCAACTCATTCTCCAACACAATCCCCACCTTCCAAACATAACTCACGTACCTCGAATTCACATTTTGATCCCCAAAACAAGGCCTACATATCAATGGAACCCCTTCACAAATACTCTCTAGAGTCGAATTCCATCCACAATGACTCCAAAAACCTCCTATTGCAAAATGTCCCAATACTTCCTTTTGTGGTGCCCATTCCATAATATAACCTCTTTTATCAATAGCTTCTTTCAAACTTTTCTCATGGAATACTAATTTCAAATCACTTCCAGTAATTGAACCGGATCGAATTACCCACAAAAAATGCTGATTACTATTCACTAATCCCCAAGCTATTTCTGTTACTTCTCTTTCAGCAATTGAAGCTAAACTTCCAATGCTGACATAAAGCACGGACTTTGCAACTTGCTTATCTAGCCACATTATGCAATTTCTGTCTTCTGTTATTAAGGAACTATTAGTAATATTCTTAATAGATTTGTGCATTGGACCTACTGGAAAATATGGGATCTGGTAATGTTGTTTGAGTTTTTCTAGGATTGGTTGTTCAAGACACTCTGTTGTGTTCCAGATTATGGCTGAGGAAGTTCTGATGTCTGATGTTGTCCTAATCAAATGTAACAAATCATCAACATTTGGGAAATTGAAGATGGGAAGATCTTTGAACCTGAGTGGATCAAGTCCAGGCACGAAGTCTTCGGCAATTGAGTCTGTTGAAACATAGAAAGAACAATGGTCAGTCCTTCACAGCAGTATCAATTATAAGTTGCACGGTATATATAAGGTTAAATTTTTTTGTTATAGCACATCACAAACTCTTTTGATGAAAATTCTGCCTCCGCTATTACAGGCCAAGTGAATTAAGGATACCTTTTAACGGAAAATAACCTTCAGCTTCAAGTCTGTGAAAAGCAGCATAAGTCCAAAAAAGGCTAGCACTGCTAGTTTCCAAAATGACACTAGGAATATTAAGATTGTTAGCCACCTCTGCTACTTTATACATAATAGAATCATAAATAATGCACAAAATCTCATCACTTTGTTGTTGTTGATGAACCAATATCTCTCGAAGAGGCATCGCGATATCATCATTAAGAGCTAACAACAATGCTATAAAATTAGAAGAAGAGGCTTGAACTTGAGAGAGATCATCTGGTATAGGAAGAAAAGAGAAACAAGGATGATTTGATGGATTTGGAAAGTTAAATTGGGTGTGAGCAATTGTGATAGAAAAGCCCTTTGAGTAAAGAAGTGAGGCTAATTCAAACATTGGGTTTATGTGACCTTGAAATGGACAAGGGACTAGTACAATCCTATTTGATTTTTGTTTTTCCACTTCCATTTCTCTTTTCAACTTAGATGTGGTTTTTTTGTTTAGCTAAAATTGTTAGGACTTTATATTATCTTATGATCTTTGGTAAGAAATCATGAGTGTGATTCAGTCAAATTTTTTCAGTTTTTATAATGTTTGTGAAAGTTCTTGGAAACTTCAATGAAGTTGAATGAGGAATTCAAATTCCATAAAATGGCATATTTTATTTTGGTTTGATATTTCCGCCACCTAAGGCGTCAAGACATACTTTTTTTGGTTTGTTTTCTTTTTGTAAAATATTTAATCGAAAATACCAGTAATTTAAAAGAATGAAGTCTTTCTTCTTAAGAAAAAAAAAAGTGGACTAAGAAACCTAGTAAGCTAATTATATTATACATTGAGATACAACACTTTTACTATGTTTTAGTACTTCCTTTTTTTTTAATCAAAACACTTTGTATCCAAGAAAACTCGAACCAAACACCTCTTGATTAAGGATGAAGGAGCACTTACCACTACATCAACTCTTGTTGGTTGGTTTACTACTTACTTTATTGAACCTTAGATTTTTCTGAAATAATTGAGAGTGTTAGGTTACTTATAAGGTTCAAAAATGTCCTTCTGATTTGCAAATAGGGCTATCTTTGCATTTCGTCCAAAGTTTATATTAACTATAGCAAGTGCTTTCGTCGTTACAAAAATAGCACACATTTACTTTTAATTTTTTCACCTCCATCTTTTAAAACGTTGTCCATGATATGAGTGGTGATTGTGCTACTTGTGTAGTAATATTTAGCCCTCCTCGTAAAGCAAACAAAGTTAATGGGCCGTTGTAAAAAACAAAGTCCTTGGGCCAGTGGAAGCCCAATTTCCATAGCTCAGTTGTGATCTGTAATGGATCTATCCAGAAAGTTCTCGACATCTGCTTCTGGAACATCTACTTGGCTCTAGAAATGTCTCATTGGATAGTACAAGTATGGAGAAAGTTCCTCTAACAAGCTATAAATAACTATGAGCTCCTCTTCAATCAACCATCAAAATTGAAAACCAAACAGAAAACCAAGCCAACACAGAAATTTCTCAAAAAGCTCACTGAAAATGTCTCTGATCCCAAGAATCTTCGGCGATCGACGTAGCAGTAGCATGTTTGATCCATTCTCAATTGACGTGTTTGATCCATTTAGGGAATTAGGCTTCCCAGGTACCAATTCAGGGGAGACTTCTGCATTTGCTAACACTCGAATAGATTGGAAGGAAACTCCAGAAGGTCATGTGTTCAAGGCTGATCTTCCAGGGCTTAAGAAGGAGGAAGTGAAGGTGGAGATCGAAGAAGATAGGGTTCTTCAAATTAGCGGAGAGAGGAACGTGGAGAAAGAAGATAAGAATGATACTTGGCATCGTGTGGAACGCAGCAGCGGGAAGTTCATGAGAAGATTCAGACTTCCGGAGAACGCAAAGATGGATCAAGTTAAGGCTTCTATGGAGAATGAAGTGCTTACTGTCACTGTTCCAAAGGAACAAGTGAAGAAGCCTGATGTCAAGTCTATTGAAATCTCTGGTTAGAAATTCATTTGTGAACTAAGTGGTAGTATATATATATGATGTATGACCAAATAAACAACTGAATCCGTTGTATCTGTTGGAGATTTGAAGTTGCTGTGCTCTCTGTATTCAAGTGCAATAGGAAATAAAATATTAGTCCTTTTCATACTGTTCCAAATTCCACTTTATGTTATATTCTGATAATAATCACATTTCATGCATTTCTCTAAATACAAATTACTATAGCATAATCTTAACTACGATTAAATAGGTATAAATATTTTAATCGTAAATCTAGTGATAATTAAATTTAGCTATAAATTCAATAGCAAATTAAAAATTCATGAACTTCAAATTTGATTTCCAATCTCCAAATGACAAAACAATTAACTACATGCTAAGCAATCAAGTTTTGCGCCCTCTGTGCTTACTGACGAATTCAGTTTTAATTTATGTGCATGCTTTCCTCCTTGTCCGTCCTTAAAAAATTGACATCTTTATGTAACTGACAATAATTTGAAGAACTTCTCTGAAAAAATTCTATTAAGTCAAATAGACGTAAAGTAAAACGGAGGGAGCAAATACCAATGTACTATATAAGAGAATTAATGATTGTGTCGAGTTCACACTTGACGTAAAAAATAATAATTTGACGTAATTATTTAAAAATTACATTAAAAAAAAGTACTATAAATTACAATAATTAACAACTTAAAATATTTAAAAAACATAAAAAACATCACAATAATTAACAACTTAAAATATTTAAAAGACATAAAAAACCTAATTTGACTCTCGATAGATTCAATGCATCACAACAATAAAAAATTACTAAAAGATATGGAAAATTAAGTCGCACCCATACTATCTCTGACAACACCACCACCTCCACAAATACCATCTCTACAGCGACCATCACTAATAAGCTTGACAAAGAGCAGTCGTGGCTTGATCCACCTAACCAAAGCCACAGATTTGGAAGTCATTGTTTCTCAAAATTTTATCAGTGCCACATAAATTGGTACAAGAGGCGTCATAAAACATATCAGTGCCACATAAATTTGAATTTGTTTGGACATGCGATATGAAATTTTTGTATTGTATATTTATTCATAAACATAAGAATCCCATAATTTTAAAACTATTAAAATAGCCCTATTCAATCTTACAAAATAAATAAAAAATTATAAAATCGCATAATAAATTATTACAAAACTATTTGTTATCCACTTAAATAATTGTTTCATCTAACTTTAATTGATCAAACATTAATTCAGTAAAAAAAATTGAACATAAATTATAGTTTACTAGTCTTTAATATAATTTTCCCACATATTACGGACAATCTCCTCGCATTGAACTTGTATTTCTCGATCATATTACCAAGAAGACGAACCAACATTGTTACTTTGAGCCATTTGTTGGTCAATATCATTCCCAACTATATTTTCATGCTCATAGACCATAAATATTTCATCACTCCGTTGGTATTCTCGCAAATAATTATGTAACACTGCACAAATTATGACAATTTTTAACTTGTGCGTCAATATCATAATGATTCATGCCTTGTTTCACTTGTGTGCAATTACACATTTTCAGTGCATTAATTTCGTGCTAAAGTTCAAACATATTGAAAGTAGTGATTATCAAACATACATCACCATTTTTTTCATATTAAATTGCTTTAAACATTTTCATATGTAGCTGAAAGAGACATTTTATTTTATTTTGAAAAATAAAAAAAGTATTACTCCATCCTTTCTTATTTATATTCACCAAATCAATTTTTACTTTATCATTTCTATTCACCAAATTTAAAGTAATAATAAATTTTGTGCTGGTGAGAATAATAAATTTTAAAAAGTAATGATGTGATTATAAATTTTAATTACATATGAAATAAATGGTTAGTAAATATAAATGTGGGGTTGTTTCAACAAAATATATATTCATGGGTCAATTTTTGTATTTAAAAATTCCAAATCATGATATGAAATTCTCATATCATGATTTTTGGAGAATAGGGTATTCCATCTCATGACATGAAATCATGAGATGGAATCAACGTGAAATCGCATGTCCAAACACTGATTCCATTTCCATCTCACGATTCTATATCGTGATATGGTATCGCATAGCCAAACGCCTACTTAGAAAATCACAATAATTAACTGCTTAAAATATCTAAAGATTTATATCACATAAATTTAAATTAAAAAATAACATATATTAAAGTTGTGCTAACACGGACACTTGCATCTAGTTTATGGAGTGATTGTCAATACAAATAAATAAAAATATTCATGTGTGTCTTCCATCATAAAATAACAAGATTGTACAAAAAACTAATTGCCGGTATAATATAAATAAAAGTTATAGTTCGCTATTATAGATGAAAATTTAGACAAACATCAAAGTGATGATAGCACGAGTTTAAAAATATATACTCAAAATGATTAAATATATTTATACTTTTAACTTCGATATAATTATAATGAATTGAATATTTAATTGTCACCTTGTTTTTTTCATTACAATATGAGATTTTGAGATGAATTAATTAATATATCTAATAGAAAAGCCCTTTTGAATAAAGAAGTGAGGCTAATTCTGTTTTTATGTGACCTTGAATTGTGTTTTCCACTTCAAAATTTGGATATGCCTTTTTGTTTAGCTATTATTTGGACTTTATAGTTCATGATCGTTGGCAAGAAATCATGAGTGTGATTTTTGGTCACAGAAATCTCCTTGAATTGTGTTTAGCTATTATTTGGACTTCATAGTTTATATTATCTTAGGATCCGCAGAAAATAGCTGATTGTGGGCCGTTGTAAAGAACAAAGCTGGTTGAATTGAGCCGACTGAAAGAAGCCCAATTTCGATAGTTCAGTTGTGATGGGCCTAGCGTGATTTTTATCCAGAAAGTTCTCGACATCTGCTTCTGGAATATCTACTTGGCACTAGAATGTCTCAGTGGATAGTAGAACTATGGAGAAAGTGCTAAACAGCTCCTATAATGAAGCTATAAATAACTACCACCTCCTCTTCCATCAATCATCAAAATTGAAAGCAAGCAAGTAAAAAAGTTCTCAAAAAACTCACTGAAAATGTCTCTGATCCCAAGAATCTTTGGCGATCGACGAAGCAGTAGCATGTTCGATCCATTCTCAATTGACGTGTTTGATTCATTCAGGGAATTAGGCTTCCCAGGTACCAATTCAGGGGAGACCTCTGCATTTGCTAACACGCGAATAGACTGGAAGGAAACTCCAGAGGCTCATGTGTTCAAGGCCGATCTTCCAGGGCTTAAGAAGGAGGAAGTAAAAGTGGAAGTCGAAGAAGATAGGGTTCTTCAAATCAGCGGAGAGAGGAACGTGGAGAAAGAAGATAAGAATGATAAGTGGCATCGCGTGGAGCGAAGCAGCGGGAAATTCATGAGGAGATTTAGACTTCCGGAGAATGCAAAGATGGATCAAGTTAAGGCTTCTATGGAGAATGGAGTGCTTACTGTAACTGTTCCAAAGGAAGAGGTGAAGAAACCTGAGGTCAAGTCCATTGACATCTCTGGTTAAACGCTTTGGCTGGGATTAAACTTGTAGTATTAAGTAAAGTGTGTACTGTTGAAGATTTTCAGTTTTTTTATTTTCTGCCTGTGTCTTATGCTGAGTCGTTTTCCTAGTTTGTTATGACCTGTGTGATGTATTTCCCTTGAGTACTCTATATGTGAAAATATGTATTACTAGTAGTATTTCTGGTGCCATTCTGCAATCTGTTCAATTATTTTATGTTATTCTTTCTTCTCCTTCATTTTCAAATCAAAACTTCAAATTTTAAGACAAAGTAAACAGGTTAATTAATCAACCAATCTCAGTCTCAAAACTATTTGAGCAAGTTGCACATATTGTGCCTGATTATTCTTAGAGTTGTACAAGAGACTACAAGTACCTAATCTAATCAGCACTTTAAGAGTGAACATAAGAATTTCGAGATGTTGCAGGTTATTGATGGTTTCTTTTGATATAACTTCAGAGAGGCAGAAAGCTAAAACAAACTAAAATGCTTAATCTTGATGTAAGCATCCTACCTATAATTTCAGTTCCCCACAAACTCTTGAGATGTTTCAACCAAACATTTGCTGCATATCAAGCGATAAGATCGAAAATAAAGGGATAGGAGAAGTGGCAAGGTAAAACAAGCGCTAAGCTTCCAATCAATATGAACTTTCAGTTTCTGAGATAAGGTATTTTTGTGCTACCTTTCCATTACGTAGTGTGGAAAGATATCTTCAAAATGTAATGACATCAAGACAGAATTTTAATGCTGCATAAGCCCCGAAAACCAAATAAAGATGAAAGAGTGTAGATGCAATAGCACATTACACCAATGAATTAATCAAGTCCTTAAAATTAAACACCAACCAATCAGCTTTAGCTGCAACTGATTCTCGTAGTTGAATTCCGCCATAGCAAATAAACAAGTCCGCACCACCTGGCATACGAGCCTGCAACAGAAAATGGAGAGCAAACATGTTAACAGAGTTTGCAACAACAAAGAAGAAACCGAAAAACTGAGTTGCAGACTCTGTTTGCAAATTTCATACTAAGACAACAGTTGGGCAATCAGAGTTGGTGGTTAAACGGGAAACAAGGATATTGGTTACTTACTTCAAGATCAGTAGCACCATCACCAATCATCACTAGTGACTTGTATCCATGAGCCTGGAACATTGCTTAGCTTTATGAGCATCTTCAAAAAGTATGTTAAAATAAACAACTATATCACCAACAGTTCCAACACCAACCTTTCTTATTTGTTGAACTGCACTAGCCTTTCCGCCACGCCTTGAAGTTGGCTCATTTTTATCAAACCCAGCATATTCTCCATTGCTCCCAAAGAGTATTTGATTGGCAAAGATATTTTCAAGTGGTATTCCAAGGATTGATGCAACAGGCTTTAAGAAAGAATTATAGTTAGCAAATATATAAACAATACACTAAATTGCAGATAAGCAGAATTAAACGGTGACACATAGGATACGGAGATAGGATATCCGATGACTAATTAAGGTAGCCATTTTTCTCAAAAGGAAGCTATTCTTACATATGGCAGCATTTACACTAGAATATGTCCAAAAAGTTTAACTGCCACCCTTCTGTAAAGCATTTTTGCAAATTGAAGTTTGGAAATTACCAATAGTACTCAGGATTCAAGAATAGGAGAATCTCAAGAAAGAAGCTCGAACCTCACACAGAAGAGTTCGAAATTTCTTAATGGCTACAAGAGGTGTAAAAGTCACAACTTTATCCTTGATATTGTCTATATGGATGCAAGAATGCAAGATAGACAAATAAAATTAACCGTAAACTAAACAGTTCAACAAGGGAAGTACATTGATCATTTGACGAAACCCTCCAGAGACCAGATAAACATCTTTATTATTATCCTTCAGCTTCTTGACCAATAGATCAATACCAGGAGAAAGTCTGCACCAAGAAAAAACAGAAAAGATTTCAGCACCTTAAGCTGACTAAAGTAAGCAATCAGATAGCTTCAAAGCAACACCAGATAAAAGTTGCTTTGTTTAGTAGAAATTTTAAGGACATTGATGGATTTAGTTCAGATACCTTTGAGTCCCTTTGTTATCTAAAAGAAATTGTCTTTTCACTTGAAAATTTATAAATTTTCTGGAATTGCCATTAGCATTTTCTATGTTACGAGATCATAGTAAGTAGAGAGGCACAGGCTTGCTAAGTGAACATGTTGAAAGTTGATTACACAAAACTGTATGTCTTTGTTATTTTCACAAATTAACAGATGGTTCAAGGAATAAAAGTAATGAAGTTCGGAACCAATTAACTGTAACAGTTATTTTCTTTCGACTTTGACATACAATTAGGTCTTTTGACCTGATGAACTTCTTCATCTGTTGACTAGGTCTCTCTTAAAATCTGCTAATCCCTTAAAGATCCTAAAAGAATTGGGGTGGTTGAGTGTTTACTGTTTAATACCACTACTATTGCCATCTGAACTACCGAAGAGGCTACAGCTTCCAAAGGTTATGAAAGAAACACTAGCATTTTAAATTATATCAAACTGCTTCCAAATGTATTGGTTGCTTCGTAGAAATTATTAACCGCTATTTTTGGCACCAATTATGACATGCCTGCAATTTGTTTCGAGAACCTGAATCATGATTCATTTAACCAGAGAGCTATAACATCTGACCATCAACACAGAAAGGTTTTTAAGAATTCAAATGGAAGAAAGAAACTGATATCCGTGACCATATAGCATGACTAATCAAAAGCTTTAAATCAACTAGGTTGGCAGTTATGATCATGATCCCTAAATGAAAGGCCAATAGCAGATTCATCTTTACATCTAACCTCAATTTTCCATAAAGGGATTAAATTCGAGTGACACAATACTTCTTTGTCTTTCATCTTAGTAAACTTGTAATAATAATTCACAGAAATGGAAAACCTTATATGCATAGGTGATCAAAGGCACATTGTTACCGTGGAGGTCTCTTAAGAAAATCCTGGAGTTGGGATAATGAAGGGTTTATAAGAGAAAGACGAGCTGCCAATGCTTCTTCAAATGGAACAGAGCCATTCATTGCCCTGTCAAAGACAAGATAAATAGGATATGAATTCAATCCTAAGGCATTTAACAATATATTAGAACCATTATTCAGAAAAGCAGCTAACCTAGCAGTCCATTCCGCTACAGCCTTTCCAGCACCACAAAACTCCGCAAATTCATCAATGCCCTCGTCTATGCACACAGTGCTATCCACATCAAAGCATACAGCATTCGCATTATTCCAAACATCAAGAACCTCTAACAAGATTCAAAACACCATCAGTCAGCCACAGTACTACAACCAATTCCATCTATAGTTTAACCTATCCCGTGTTCCGTTTTATAAGTATCAATCAATCAACATCCCAAATTAGTCGGGGTCAGCTACATGAATCCTCCATATAAGTTCAGCTCTACTCGGGTTCATTTCACTTTACAAGCATGATTATAAATATTCACAAAAAAACCAATCTATAACAAAACACAACAGATTATCCTCATCTAGTTTAGAAAACAAGATTCAAATTTTTAGTTTACTAGCCCTACCAAGAACAATCTCAGATCCTGATGTTTACCTTTAGATGGCAATGTGTTGTCAAAAGGGGTTACAGCAGAGGCTTCAATTGGCTGAACTGAAGCAACAACGGAATTAAACAATTTGGAATTCCTCACCATTCCAATTGGTTTAACAGAAACTCTTGTATTACTAATTTTTCGAGAAAATGTAGGAACTAGTACCGAGCTTTGCCGTCTTGATACAGCATGAACAGAATTCGCCTGAAAACTCATCAACCCCTCCATTGAAACACCTTAATATTCTTGAATTTCACAAAAATAGGAGATGGGTGTCGTTAAAAATCAAATCTTTTTGCGTAAAGTTAAAGTTGTCATTTGCTCAAAATGCTGATCGAACAGTTGGTGGGAATCTCAGAGTACTGTTCTTAGAATAGTGGGCCTGAATCCGAAATTATTTGGGCCTGGCCTTTTTAAGAAGAAAGGGCCTGTTAAATTTGATGTAGATACTTGTGGGCTGGACCCATTGGACTATCTAAAGCAGGTCCATGTGATTTTAGCAATTTGGTACTTTGGCAAAGTACAGAAATCTCATACATTTGGGAGTTAATAAAGGGGAACTTTCACATATAGCCACTTAAAAATAGCCTAATTACTCTCCATAGCTATAGTTTGATTATTACAATTCGTACCTACATGTTATATGGAGGAGAGAGGCGAGCGAGACTGGGAGAGAAAGGAGAGAGGTGAGAGAGAGGGGGAAAAGAATGGGAGAAAGGAAAATTGTATATGTATATAGGTTAGATAATTGTATATTATACATATGTATTTGTATATATGGCAAGTGAGATTGGGAGAGGGAGGAGAGAGGTGAGCGAGATTGGGAGAGGGAGGAAAGAGGCGAGCGAGAGAGGGTAGAGAGTGGGAGAGAGGTGAGTTATATATGTATATAGGTTAAATAATTGTCTATTATACATATGCATTTGTATATATGGCAAGAGAGATTGGGAGAGGGAGGAGAGAGGCGAGCGAGCGAAGGCAGAGAGTAGGAGAGAGGTGAATTGTATATGTATATAGGTTAGATAATTGTATATTATACATATGTATTTGTATATTCTGGCGAACTATACATATACAAACGTGGCAAATCATACAAACTCAAAGTCAGCCCGCATAATTAATGTATAATGTCAGTCGTGAGTGATAATTATAACAAACTATAGCTATGATGAATAATTAAGTAGTATAAGGTTGCTTAACCGCGTAATTTTCCTTTGATTATATCATATCCCAAAAAAATTTCCAATTACAAAAAATTTGAATTTCTTATTGCTCTCGGATGCATTTATTGGTTTCCGAGAGGGGATGGAATATATTTGAGAAGGGATAAAAATATATTTGAAAGGTAATTTTTATAATATTTTTAAATAATAAGTAAGTTTAGAGCTTATGATATTTTAAATTGCGTATTTATGTAGTTTTTCCATTATCTGAAGCAGGTCCATGTGATTTGCTACTGATTGGTACTTTGGGTTTCTTTTTCAAAAGGTTCGTGTGATTTTGTTGGGGGATTTACACTAGTATGGATTATTTTAGGCTGATATTTAATTTTTGTTCTTGTTAAATAAATTGTGCAAAAATAGATTGACAAGTAGTTCAAAA